CTATTCATCTAATTGTCATGTGGTTTGTTTGTTTTTTTAAATGATAGAGTTTATCTCAGAGAAGGTTTTCAATATTAAGATCTGCTCCTATTAAAAACCCACTTCCAAAAATTAGGATTTTACATGTTTTTGGTACGAAAATTAAATTATTTTTGTTGATTTATTAATGTAACACCAATAAAATGAAATAAAAATGGCATAACAACTATAACAACTTAAAATATGGAATCTATCTAACTGTTTGGCTTTTAATAGTATGGTCTACCTTTGTAATGTAGATGAAAAAACCAATGAACTTTTTACTGGGTAGCTAAGTGAAAAGTGAATACACATACAAATTCATCTTTAAATCTTTGTATGTTTTGGTTCTATAACAACATTAAAGTGCTTTTATATTCTCATAATTTTAGAGTTATAATAGTGGATATAATGTAGTTTAATCCTTGTGATATGCAGGTGTCTATGGTAACATGTGTGACAAAATGTATACCTATGACACAGTAGAACACTTTAAGTCTGCCATTGGCAAACTACCCACCTATTTTGTTTGTTTAACATACTGATACAGGCAAAGCAAAACATGAATAAAATTAAAAATAATAAAATAGACAAGGGGGAAGAGGCAGCTAGTCTTATACTATAATACTATATAAATATACAAAGTGACACTTAAGTACTGATGAATATTAACATATATCCATAAATAAGATGCATAGCTGTGTATTTAAACTTACATATTTATTCTCTTTTTACTATTTTATTAATAGTACAGAAATAACACAAATACATTTTATTTATGTGAAAACAATTAATATATTTATTTAATTTTAGATGGTATGTGGTACAGAGTGGTATGTGATACATTGAAACCAGGTGAATTAACAAAAGTGCATTCAATAGATTTGGGAAATGTGGCTTTTTTGAATTGTCATAATATAAGAAAAATTCCATTAGAGTTATTGTTTGAACCAAGTCATGTGTATCTATGCTTTTTAGGTAATTCATTTATGAATAAAATTTGTAAGTATCACAAAAGTAATAAAATTAATGATGGGTAATTTTTATTTTTAGATACTTCTATCAAAATTGATAAGGACAAGGTAAAATTATTAAAAGAATATGAAAATACAGATTGCGAAATTACAATTGTTGAAGATTTGTTTGAAAAAAATCACTATTTAATCAAATGTCCATTTATTGAAGATTTACTTAAACAAACTTAAGATATTAATAAAATAATTTAATTAATAATATTTATAATTATTTTAAGTAATTAATAACTATAGCATATCTGTTGAAAGGCTTAGGCTGATACATTTTATTTGGAAAAAATTAAAGTTGGGATAAAGTTAACAGATTAATATTATATTAATATTATAGATTTATAATCTTTCAAATAGTAAAATAAATAACTTTAAATTTTGATTTTACCATTATTTGTTATTTTTTTCTGTCTGTTAAAGTGTTAATAACTTTTCAATTAGAAAACATTGTCAAGAGATCTTTGTTGCATTTTGAATCTGGTTAATTAGAGAGGTAAATTTTTGATTTTCTAAGTGGTTTTCAAAAAAAATGGGAAAGATCAGAAACAAACTTTTAGAAAATTAGATAAATATTTGAGTTATGTTGATTTCATAATTTTTAATTTGTACGCGTTATATACTACCAGAAATTCTGCTCAAATAGAAAAAACAATTAGTCACCTTTTTTGTTGTATTTTGAATCTTGTTGGTGAGTAAAAAGGTGGGTTTTTTATTTTCAGTGTAATTTTCTTAACAATTCAACTAAAGTGGGAAAAACTTAAAGAAGAATGGGAAAGTAAGTTTACTTAGACTTCGAGATCTGAAGTTTTGTCAGAAAATTTTTATTTGCCTTTTCTAGATGTAGTAAAATTTTAAAAATATTCGAGCGATTTTAAAGCTATTTTATTTATTTTGTTTTAACACATTACAACAAATCTCTTTATAATATTTAAGATATTTATACTTCGTTTATTTTTCAATGACGAATTCACAAACATCTTTAATTCTAACTAATATTAGGTTATTATTTATTTAAATATCAAAATAACTACAAAATATATTAAACCAATTTAAAAATAAAAAAACAAGAGGGTGGGTCAAAAAATGTATTCTAAAATGTAATAAGTTGAGTGCTAGTGACCTTTTATTAAAAAAACATGATCTACATATAGTAAGTGAATGATAATAAAATGAATTATAGTAAATGAACACATTTTAACACATTTCAGTCTGCTTTCATGATGTAATACTAATCATTAAAAATTGCCAAAAATATAAATGGTTTCTACTTGACTTATTTTCATGTTTCAGTTGTACTGAAACAATACTTACCATGTTCATAACTTGTGCAATTTTCATAAATGAATATTTTAACTCACATGTTAACATAAGAGGTACTCGTTAATTATCCTATTTTTTTTCAACACTTCATCCTCTTTAGCATTCTCATATCTGCTACATTCATCCTCTGTTCTATTTTTCTGTCTACCGCCCAACACTCCTAACCAACCATATAGTCAATCTCACTACATTTTTGTAAAACTTAACTTTAGGTCTCATTAAAATTATTTTATCACATAAAACAATTGATGTTTCTCTCCACTTTATTCAATCACACAATTCTATTTTCACATCTTTGTCAAAGTAACCAAGTCAATTTTGCCTATAACCAATTATTTTCATTAACTGTCTTGTCCTGTTTCTTCAAACTCATATTCTATTTTACTTCTACTTATCTTTAATTCCTTAGTTCCAAATTGTCTCTTATTAAAGCTTTATCATCTGCAAATATGGTACCTCCCCTCACATGTTATATTTTTATTTTATCTGTAAGTGACTTTCTTACCAGAAATCTTGTTCCCATGTATCAAGTGTAGTAGGTACCTTTTATGAAAGGAAATTTTATCTGTGTGTTACTTTAGGGAGGACACTTTGATTTTCTAAAACGTGGCTACATTTTTAAAACATTTAATTTATTTTTAAGCTATTTATAGACATTTTTATTAGTTTAATTTTCGAGTTTTTTTATGTAACTTTTATTCTTTAGGTATTCTGTGGATAAAATTGCTAGACCAAACAGAAAAGCTTGAAAATTTAAGCAGGTATCTCAGGATAAGTCGTACCTAATTTGTGGTTAACACTTTGTGTTAGAAGAATTTTAATAGCAAATTGTGACGAAAATCGTAAATACTATGGCCTACCAAAATAGGTAGGTATAACTGAACTCCGCTCAGAACTGTGTACTTATCAGAGTAAGTCTGCACCATTGAGAGGTTTTAGACAGCCTGATGGATTTCCAGGGAAAAATTTGAATAAAAGTAAAAAGAGAAATTATAGGGTTTAGATGTATTGATAGTTTCTAATTGAATTTGTAGTATATGGAGGCTATTAGTACTGTTGCAATTTTTAAATCATTGTGGACCGTGGATATGTACCAGTAGGTAGAAATAACAATACAAAGAGTTATTGATTGGAACATCTAAATATATTTATATCATGAAATATATAAATTTTTTGCATTTATATGTAATAAAATTAATAAATAAGCTAATACATATAATATATGGTAATAGATAAGTCCAAAAAAAATTAATTACAAATATGTGATCATTTTATGATAAAAAAAAAAATGTTGACTCAATAACTTGTCACTAATTCAATTAACACATAATATTTTTTTTTTAAAAAAAAAGCTCATAAAATCTGCTCTAGATAAATACCTTAGAACCACAGTGATAACCATTTTTCTTTAAAAAAACATTTTAATATTTGCTACAAATATTAACTCATTTTTAAAAACAAATGGACAATACTTCACACTATATTGGTGCTATATAGGTACTATTATAGGTGGGCCACTAATGTGGTAGAGAAGTTGGTAAGGTTGAAGGGAAATTGAATGTATATTTGTATTCAGTGATTAATCATTGAAAAACGATTCTGAGTAGATGTTTACATGTTTTGAAAGGCAATGATATTTACAATTTGAAAATAACACATTTCTTAATTTTCCAGGGTTTTTTTTCCATTTATTATGAATACTGAGTAATCATAGGGTACAGAAGATATCGGGTACCCAGTTAGGACTTTATGGCCGGGTACCCGGAACATCTCTAAAGTAAAAATTACCTAATTCATTAGATAAATTAAGAATGTAAACAACTAGTCTTAATTGTCATAATTAGTTTCAGTCAGAAACTATGATCAAAATTAATCAACATTTTCAACAAAATTTATAATTTTGCATTTTGCAATGTTGTATTTTTAAACTCTTTAGATTCTAAGTGGAGCAAAGAACTTATGATTTTACAAAGATGTTATTTTTTTCTACCAGAAATCCTGCTCTGATTTAAAGGTTTCCCGACAAATTGAAAAACCATGAAAAAATATGAAATGTAGGCATTAATAAAAAATATTATGTCCTTTTTAATCCTGTGAACAATTTTTCTACCAGCAATTTTGCTCAAATTCATGACAACACTTTTTCTTAAAGGAGATCTGACTGGGAAAGTACTTTAGAGAAATCATTTTTTTAATTATCCAGGATTTTTCCCAATAAATGGAAAAAACTTAGGAAAAACAGGAAAATATTAAAAAAATATTGTTAAAGAAAATATATAATGCCTATGTAAGTATATTACTATAACATATATTGTTGATAAAGCAACACTATAAACTAAACTCCGCTCACTATCAGTTTTTTTTTAGCAATAGGTTATTGTTCCTTACAGATATACATTAAATTTCTCCTCTACTACCTTCCTAACTTCTCACCTACAACAGTGATCCACCCATGTGTAATTTTTTTTATATTGCATAAAAAATCAAATAATATTGATTAAAAATTTAAAACAATTAAAACGTTAATGTTCATTAATAAAAAAGCTTATACTATATTAGCTTTTCAACTACTTTGTCACTTAATTGTTAACAATTTGAGTTTCTAAATTTAAAACAATACAATACAATAATTTAATTGCACCCAAAAGCAACATTAAATATTTATAATAAGCATATATAAAATGTTAGATTTAAAGAAAAGTAAAAATCAAACATTATTATCAATTACTAAACCTCCATGTTCATTTTTTTTTCTCCACTTTGACCTTCAACTGTCTCTGTCATCATTGGGCTAAATCCTCTTCCTCCAACTTGTATGTTGTGTTTTTGCTTGAATTCATTTATTTCTGTTCCCTTTTTAGTTAACTGATCATTCAATGTGTTTATTATTTTTCTCATCTGAAATTAAATTGTTACATATCATAATGTTTAATACAACCTTTTTTCTATTAGACAAATATAATAAAAGTATATCCAATAGCAAATTTATTAATGGAAAAACAAATGTTTGTTCTCAATATTAAGTTTGTTCTCCAAGACTAGGAGTGGGTTTTTGGGATCCTTGTCGAATAATTTAAATTATATTAAATTTAGGTGGTCAATTTTTTACAGGCCTGTAGGTAAGATGTCAATATGTAAATACAGCCCAGATTATGTTAAAAATTTTAAAATTATTGTTATATTGTAAACAAAGAAAATATGGTTATTTAATTTTCTAATGACATTGCAAAACTCCTTAATTATTTATAAATACAGACATTAAATATCAGGTACTAGAAAATGATATTGATAAATTTCATAATTATTTTTACACATAATTATGTATACCATGAATTTATGTATTGTGTTTGTCGTGTAATATGTATGTATGTTACCTGCTAGAGCAAAAATGAAAATACCAGTTTTTATAAGATTAACATCAAACAATTGCTTGAGACCAAGGAAGTGTTGCTGGGTATGTGAAAGTAAAAAAATATTACACAACACATATTTAGGAGTATGTACTACAAGACATATGGGCTTAAATTTATTAAATAAATCACAGTTTTTTTATGCAACATCACACCGAGAAGATAATATATTGTGCAAGCGTGCAAATAAAAATAAAAATAACTTCAAAACTACATTCAGCAATGGAAAAACTCACTGATAAAAGTGTAAACATAATTGGAATTCGTGAAAGGGTTAAAAATTTAAAAAATACGGACTTTTGACAGTTTGTAGTTATTGACATTTTCTTTACACCAAATTCTTTAATAATAGTAGCTTTAAAAATTTTAATCATAAAAGAAATATGATAGGAAAACCAATTTTCAAAAATAAAGCGTGTCCAATAAAGTAGAAATGTTCCAATTTTATATTATTTATTGTAAGTAGATGCTTAGAATCCTAAGTGTGCAATTACTAATTTTCTCTGTTCAAAGAGCTTTGATTACATTGATTAACTTAAAATTATATATAAAATTATCTACCTTATAATATGATAACAAAAAATACTAACTTCTCCACTGTTCTTAATGAGTGTTGGTAGTACATCACTAATATTCCTTTCAACTAATATTCCACCTATTAACCTAAAACATTTTCTGCCACCATCCAACTTTTTTAAAGTTTCGATAACAGTACTGTAAAAATATTTATTAATGTATTTATGTAAGGGAAAAATATATAATGTAATATAATACAAATCAACAAACTTATGTTCATTGAGATCAAGTTCGATTTCAGACAATTTTGTAGCTAGTTGTTTTTGTTCCATTCGTAAAGCATTAAAGGCATTGCGAATTAATACCTCATCTGTTGGTTTCTTGACTTTTACTGATTTTTCCATTTTACAATTGAACGTTTAAAATATAATTTGCTAACTATTATTTAATAATTTATATATATAATTGTATTAATTAGTTTATAGTACACTACACTTAACGAAAATTATTCAATAACTTTATAAGATATAATTTATAATTTAAGAATCTGTGTTTCCAATACACCGTACTCCATGTCCCGTGCATAAATCTACGTATTGTGATTGATACCAGGTAGTACATGGTATTAACCAAACCGTTCAGCCAATCAGATTTGTAGGTTTATCCATGGAATGGAAATTCAGCTTTAAGTAACCATATTTTTACCGTGGATACAGATATATATATATATATAGATAAGAATATTTAATAAATCATGAATTAAGATAAACCTTGATATCAAGGTTTATAAATTATACAGGTCGTCTCAGAGTTGAGTAAATATTGCCTACTCTCCGCAGCTTCAATATGCCGCGTGACGTTATTGTCGTATAGATTCCGATGTCGTATATTACAGGAATGCAGGAATGCAGTTGTACATAAAGTTTAACTTCACTACAAACGGTTGATTTACTATTTTAATTTTACTTATTAATAATACAACAGAACAGAGAAACACGAACATATGTTTTACTACTATACAATAATTGGAATTATATGGTATTTTTACAACGAGATCGCCGTAGTATTAAGTAATACTATTAGGTAGGTATCTGAACTCCGATCAGAATCGTCTTTCGTCGGCAATTGTTTACCATTGTTTACTGATATAAATTAAATGACCTATGTATTGTTACCTTCCCAACTTCCCACCTACGACAATAGCCAAACCCATCCCAATTAATTTTTGTTTCTTTTTTCTGATTGTCTGTTTTATCGATATTAATAAAAGTTTAAATTGTACTTTTTTAAAATTGACAATAAGCTTCAAAAATTAAACGTACTTGAGTTTTTAAAATATCTAATTAGTTATACAAAAATAAGTAAATAACCTCTTTTTTACCAAACATATACAAATAGTATACAATAAAATATACAATTGTTTATGTGGTATTTCATGTTCTAAAAAAATTTAATACAAAATATCATTGTAAATCGGAGCGAAATTTCTGGTAGACAAATTTTTCACAGGAAAGATGAAGGCAGTAATATTTTTTAACCAATAACTACATTTTTGGGTGCGATACGACTGCGCGCGCGCTATAATATTTTTACTATACAACGTTGCCAAAATTTATAGGTGCACGGTGAATCGGATTTTATTTATCGGACGGATTATATCCGATACCAGACAAAAATACATTTCTATCACTTATCGGGGATTATTATTTTTACTGTAAATTCCCAAATAGGTTCGAATATACCATAATATAGTGTATTCCTCTCCTATAAACCAACTCTATATTTCTTAGTAGTAAATGGGCACAAATTTCGACACGTCAGACAGCGGACATGTTCGAAGCTACCACACGACCACGCAACCTTAGATAATGTCTATGATTGCAATATTGAACTTACTGAACTGATGTTCTCAACAATTAACGCATCGTTAAGTTAGCTCATGGATGTTGTAAATAATAATAATAATATAACCTTTAATTAGTGAAAAACAATTTTGTTTTCACTTATTTATCTTCAGCGTCAATGTCTAAGTCTTATGTAAAATCAAACAACACAACATACAAGACCACTGACGTCGAACATCTGCTTCACCAAGCCCTTGACAGGACTTAAACCAGAAAATTGGCAGTCTTTCATAAGACACGTGAAGGACGAGGAACAAAAGTTTTGAGATGTTGACTTTCTTTGTGACGAGCTTATAGATGAACTCCAGCCCAACCCGAGTCATATTTTAACAATCGGTGAATCAACTGACTCGTCCGATAACGAAGACGATTTGTTCGATTAATTCAATTGTGTACCCACCTAAATAATAGTAAATTTGTATAATACGTTACTTTAAAATAAAAACTTTGATATATATATATATATATATATGTATAATGATATAGCGTTTTTCATTTTCTTTAAATAATAAGTATATATAGAATAATTATGCACCGAAGTATTATAGGGTGAGTGAGTTGTATTGTTTACGCGACGTGTTTTGCAACGCCACGGTTGTCATAAAATCATTTTACGACTATACGGTGTGGTGGAAATAGAACAATTGTTTGATAAACATTTGCACGATTCTGTTATCGCGTGAAGCGTTCTGTATGCAACACCGGCAACTGCCACTATGGCGAGCAGTGCAGTGGAGGAAGTCGTTTTGCACGCGCGATTGGTCATACTCTTATTGTGATAGGTATTTTAGTTTTATAAATCCTATCACCTGGTAACATGTAATCGTGATCAATCAAATGCTCCGTTGTACAAAATTTATTATAATATGTAGATATATAAATTAATTTTAAGAAAAAATTGACGCACTAAACAATAAATATATTATTGATCTTTTTTTTTTTTTTTGTTTTTGATAATGAAAATGTTTACACAAACATTTTGTTGTTCAACGTGAGTAAATTAATAAACTCAATGGGTAAATTTGACAAAGACCGTTTTACCATCATAGGTAAAAGTTTCGGCACATGACGCAAACGCATTCGAATCAGTTATTTTATTTCGCTGTTTTTATTTTGTTAACCTTAACGTTAAAACTTAACATTTTCTTTTCTCCATGATCAACCTTGTGTAGTGTAAAAAATTGCTCAGCTGTAGTGCATGGTTTATAGATTTCTTTCTTTTCTATAATTGTTTTCTAGTCGTTAATTAAATACCAAATTAAATCATGACGTCCTTCGAGTATTAACTGAGAACTCACAATAAAATAAAACTGCCCAACACAAAGGTGAGAAACACTAATAATTTTCATTATAACATAAATAATATTGTCTTCATCATTAACTGCATTTAAAATTCTATTGTTGAAGATAATTATGCCTTTTTTTTAATGTTAAAAATTTCAGAATTTAATTGAAGAACAGGACCACAATGCGTTTCTGCCCAAGCTGTCTTCGGCTTTGTGTTGCGAGAATTGTAATAGATTTTCACTCTATTTCACTATAGGATGTATATCGTTATCTGTTATAAAATATTTGTTTTATCAATAATTACTAGGTATAAATTATTATTATTACCGAATGGAAAAAAAAATTCTATATATATATATATAAACCAATTTATTTAAAATATGATTAGGAACTTAATGCACTTGAAATTCACAAAAAAACCTTGAAAAATCACTTTAAACCAATATTATTAGACCAAATGGTAAAATGGTTTAAATGATCCTTGTTTAACGACTCTAAATTATTTTATTTTATTTTATTCTTATATTTCATTTGAACATAAGTTCAATTAAAATTATATATTCAAATATACAATAAACATAATATATAAATAACAACAATCTTAATATGATAGGTATTATTTTAAGTTATATAGATTACTTTTAAATTCATATAAACTGTTTACAAAAGGATTTATATTATACCTATTTGCTAATGTTAACATGCTATTGATTGGTGAATTAGACATTAAAAAAGTAGTATCAGGGTTTGGGTAGAACAAATCATTCAGAATACAGCAGAATACATTCATTAAAATTAATCATTGCTAATAATTTTTTGAACTATTTATATAATTATTAATTAATTTATACAAGAATATTGGAACAGATCTTAGTTTAGGGCTCAAGGTCATTTTTCAAAATTTATGTTTTTGCCTGTACATTAAGAATCTAAAAATAAAAAAGTTTGAAAATTATGGGAGAAAACTTCATGAAGTTCGGGTTTACCGTATCACATAATTTTTAGTGAGAATTTAACATTTTCAATTTTTTTTGTTTCCAAAATTTGTGTTTTTTAATGATTAATCCATTAGTATATTCAAAACTTACATATCATATTTACTTTTGAAGTTATTTTACATAAAGTATTTTGGGTGTACCTCTCTTTTTCACCTCCTAACCATTTTTAAATGGTTTTTTGTAGACTTTAAGTTTATAAAGTTCCAAGACCTAAATATGACTTAGGTATGCTGGATTTGTTTACATCTAGATTCAGCTGTAAAATTAGTAAATATTGATATAAACCATACAATTGTAAAATTATACATAATACAGATATCTATATCAATATTTTGGCACAATTCTGATAAGTGTGGCACCAAAAGTTTATTGTGGTTTTTGATAAATTGCATTGATTGGAGAAGAAAATTCCTGTATCTTTAATCAATATCTCTAATAGTTTTTAAGATATCATCAGAATCTTGCCAATATTTCTCACAAATTTCAGGTTTATATTTAAAAGATCTAAATAATTAATAATAATTATATTATTATTATTATTATTATTATTTTTAATATTTATCAAATATTAAAATAAATTTAAACAAAAATATAATATTTTTAACCTGAATGTCTGTTTAAATTCAATTATGTTCTTATTGTTAAGTAAATAAACATTTCATTGATACTTTGAAAGTAAGAAAATTACTATTTAGTAAAACAAAACTTGTATAATTATTATTAATATTACTATTTTTTTATTATATATTTTATTTTTTTGCTTATTTGTTTGTTAAATAACATTGTCTTGTATCATATACTTTTTGTTTCTATAATTATAATAACATAAACCTGTAAAAATTGACTGGAATGTATAAACAGCAAAATTATTAAAATATTTAGTTTTGTTTTACTGTTTCACATTATTCGAAAATATTTTTTTTGAAAAAACTTGACATTGCTTTGGGTACACTGCTGTTGGGCGTAAAATGCTGTCATGTCAGTCGTCTGCTGAATTTTACAAGTGCCACATGTAATATATCTCTTGTAGCACCATAGAATTCAGCTGTCGCCTGGTGTGTGGTCTGCTTATTTATGATCAGCGCTTCTTCATATACCATGTATCTTGTTACAATATTATTATGTGGTATGTAATTATAAAAAAACAATCATCTAAATTAGTGATAGATTTTATTGTATTTTTTTAAAATGAAATTAACTAAGTAGTTTTATTTATTTACTAGGTACTTATTTATATTATATTATAAAAATAACATTAAATTAAATTAATTCTTATATTTTTGATCACTTTTTATTTTTATTACAGAATGGACTCAAGAACTCAAAACAGGGAGATTAACATTGGTATTTCATAATTTTGACTATTCCAAGGGAGAAGCTGGATTGCTATATATTTATATTTGTTCATTTGTATTGACTAAAATGTATTTTGAAAGACTTGAAGCATCAAATTCCAATTATTTAAAATTTATTAACCCATCAGAATTGTTTTTTATATCTATGGTAAATTTAATAGGTTTTAGTATTTAAACACCTAAATTTAAATGTTTTTATTAACTTTTTATAGTTAGTTGTTACTAAATATCTATATGATGCTGTTGAATATTATTGGGCAGTTAATAGAGAATGGGATGTAATGTATCAGTTTTAATACTATCAATTGAATGAAAAAAGATTATTTATCTTCCATGATTATAACTTCAAATGTAAGATTTTATATATGTTTAATTATTTTTAATCTAATAGTTTCTGTTAAAAATTTAAAATAACAAACCTGAGGTTTATTAAAATTAAAACAGACATGAATATAATATAAAATTATTCCCATTTATTGGGAAAACCCCTGAGAAAATCAAAAAATGATCTCTCTAAAGTATCTCTCCAGTCAAATTTCCTTTTATATAAAATGCTATCATTATAAATCGGGAAAAATTGCTGGTAGAAAAGTTGTTCACAGATATAAAAATAAACATCACTATAAAATCATAAGCTACTTCGCTCCACTCAGAATTTAAAATGTTTAATATTTTATAATAGATTATAGAAAACGGTGTATTAATTTTGTATAGATTTTATAAAATAATATATAATAGTTATCAGTGGCTTACAAATTTTAAAATAATTAGTAATTTTTAAAATTGTAATGATTTAAATCTAACACAACATAACAAATATTACAGTGTTTAAATGAACTGAATTTATATGGCTCACATACAAAAAAAAAAAAAAAACTAATTAAATCAAATTTATTATTTGCAATAATTGATTACACAAATTTTAAAATCTACTGTTATTTATTGTAGTGTATTTATAGAACTGGGAACTTTTTATAAGTAATGAAGAATTTTATAGCAGACACAAACAATTAGTTCTCAACTCTATGGTGATTTTAAGAAATCAAACAGTTCTTTTGAAAATGTCCCCATTGATCTTATCAGTTGTACAGACAACCAGAAAGGTTAGTTATTATTTTATTAAATTATGGTATTATTCAAATTTAATAATTAAACTTAAATAATTATTATTTAATTGTATAGACGAAAAATTGTTTTTCAGGAGATTAAAGAAATGATTACCATATGCTCTGTTATGACTAGTAATGCAGACATTTTTATTTTTTTATATTATACATGTATTAATTGCAATTCAGTGAAACCTGTCTAAACAGACAAAATAATAATGCCCTGGAAAAAAGATAGGCATTTCAATGTACTTTGATTTGTCTATAACTGACTTTCTATTTTGGTTTATTGATAATGGACAACTTAGTTCAAAATCAAATTTATCGCAAATGTGCTGATACATTCCATACAATAGAATTCCAGTCTATTTTTAATACTGATTATGACTGATTACATGTTTGATAATAAGGATAAAGTTAATTTCAAGGATAGAATAATTCATTCATTTTAATTTTAGATACCAAGGAATGTATTGGTTTTAGAATGATTTATATATGTACATATATATTGTTTTTGTGAACAACTTTTCTACCAAAAATTTTGATTGGATTTTCAAGTATTGCTCTTTTTTTAAAAGTAAGTAACTGGGTTACTTTATTATGTCAATTTTCTTAGTTTGGAATCTGCTAGAAACAAATTGGAAACACATGAAGAAATTAACTATCAGAATATGATTAAGAGGAAAAGCCATAAGTTACCAAAATTTGAACTGTATGGGAGCCAATTAAAATCAAAAAGTGGTCATTTCAAGATTGCAGCTAAGGGATCAAAGAAGAACAATAAATTGGCTTTTTACTGTTGTAGAATGGACAGTCATTTCAAGCCAAATTGTGAGTTTAAAACATATTCTTGTTCTAATTGTTCTAAAATTAGTCATCTTAAGAAAGTTTTTAAAAATAAAACTGAACATGTTAATAATGTAGATTTAGTTGATTTAAATTTAAGTAATATATGTAATCTAGACTCAGATGTTAGTAACTCAGTTATACATTTTTATGTTAAACTGTGTATTAGCAAAAAAGTGAGTTTTTAGTTGATACAGGATCAGCTTTGTAGGTTATATCAAAAAAAGATTTTGAATGTTTTAAGATAGTGAAGATTGAGGAGGATCTTAAAAAACTACTATTGGATTAAAAGTGTACAATGGTTCAGTTATTATTTGGAATTTTGAAATGTAGAGTGAAGTATAAAAATTTAAATAGTTTTAAATCTGCATGTAGTGAGAGATGGTGGTCTTCCTATAATGGGTAGAGATTGATTAAAAGAATTGAAGATTTTATCTATGTGCATAGATTTTAATTCATTAACACTTGAGAGTGTTATATATAAGTATTCCTCAGTTTTTAGAGTAGATTTAAATTGTTACAAACATAAGACAAACATAAATGATAAGATGTTTGATTTAATTTTAAAAGAAAATGCTAAACCGATATTTTGTTAGCCTAGAGTTTTACCTTTCTTTTTGAAAGACAGTGTGAGTAAAGTGCTAGACAGATTAATTGCAGTAGATTTACTGTTACCAGTTGAAGCCAGAGATTGGGGTACACCAATAGTACTAGTAGTCAAAGCGAATGGTTCTATTAGAATATGTAGTGATTAAACATTAAACAAATTTTACCCAATACCTAAAGTAAATGATTTAATAAATTTGTTTTGTGGTGCAACTTTGTTTTGTACTCTTGATTTATGTCAGATGTATCAGAAACTATTACTTAGTAAGGAAAGTCAAGTTAACAACAATCACTACTTGTAAGGGTTTGTATATGTTTAAAAGATTGCCTTATAGAGTAGCAACAGGACTTGGTTTACTTCAATAGAAATTGGATAAGCTATTAAATGGTATACCCGGGACAGGTTATTTTTATGATTACTGTGGTAAAAAACAAAAATGAAGTGGATGATAGATTATTGTTAGTTTTGGAAAAATTGAATATTGCTGATTTGTCAGTTAAGAAGAAGTGTAATTTTTTTAAGGATAGTGTTACTTTTTTGGGTTATTGAATTGATAAAGATGGGTTACATATTCCTTCAGAGGGAGTGAGGACTATTACTGAGGCTCAACCACCTAGTAATATCCAAGAATTTAAAGCATTCTTAGGTCTTGTAAACTATATTATTCTAAATTTGTTGAAAACATGTCTTCAAAAGCTGGGGTTTTATATTATCTGTTAAAGAGTAATAGTAAATTTACTTGGAGCAAGGCACAAGAAGAAGCTTTTAACAGAATTAAGGAATCTATTTTATCAAATAATGTATTTACACTATAACACAAAATTGGAGTTAGTGGTAGCATGTGATGCTGGTCCTGTGAGTCTAGGAGCAGTCTTATCTCATACATTTTCTGATGGCACTGAAAAGCCTATAGCTTTCACTTCTCCTATATTGACAGAGAGTAAGAAAAAATATGGACAGATTGATAAAGAACATTAGTGTTAGTTTTTGTAGTAAAATACTTTCATCCATATGTATATACAAGGAAGTTTATTTTAAAAATGGACCATAAGCCTTTAACTAGTATTTTTGGTGGAAAAAAAGGTATACCAACTATGGCTGCTCACAGACTGTAATGCATAACACTGTATTTTTATCAGGTTATAGGATATAATTCATTAAAGGTATTGACAATGGTAATGTTGATCATCTATTAATGATGTTTAATGTGTTATATTTTATATAAATCTGATGATACCAATGTAAAAATATTGTGAATTTGGACATTTGTATGGAAGCAAAAAGAGATAAAATATTGAGAGAACCGTTTTTAAGAGTTTGGAGTGGTAACTGGTAGGATAAAATTAAAAATGTTGAGGATAAATTGATACCATATTTTAATCAAAAGAAGGAACTTGCTTTTGAGCTAGGGTGTCTTCTTTGGAGTCATAGATTAGTCATTCCAAATAAGTTCAGACATGAGATAGAGTTAAGAGATATGAAATTGGAGATAGCATAATGTGTAAGAATTATGGTATAGGGGATAAGTGGATACAGGTAATGTTTGGCAAAAATAATATAATAATTTAATTATAAGTAATAATGTTGTGAAGAGACATCTTAATCAAGTAATTGACAAGCAGTGTAAGAATCTAAGTCTGTTGGAGGGAACAGAAAAAACAGTATTATTAAATCAGGATTTTGAGGAGGATAATAAGGCAAAAAAAGGTAATGTGGAAAGAACTATTGAAAACAAGGAGATTTTACATGAACAGAATAAGAATGATGATAATATGTTAGCTGAGAATTTGGTTAGGATGGGGGTAAAGTAATTAAAGCACCTAACAGTTTGAATTTATAATTATTATTTTACTTTATTTATTTATATATATATATATGTATTAATTTTAACAAAAATGTATTTCTATTATAAGCATTATAATTTATTACTATCATTATTTGTGTAGTTTGTAAGTACATAATATATTTTGAAAAATAAAATTTATTTTATACTTATTTTATGGTAATGTCTATTTGTATTTTTTAAATTATTGAGAAGAAACTGTAATGTTTTAGATCAAGTCATGTTGGTGACATTATTTTCTTATTTTGAGTCCTCAGCACCAGTTTTTTTTATAGTGTACATACACACATATAATGAATCGTCTTTAAGCATTTGACTAAATAAATGTATGTCAATGATGTATTAAAATAAAAAATGAATTATTATGTTATAATTAATTCTTACTAGAATTTTGGTACTATGTATTGTACGTGGTTCCATCCTGAACATAACATAAATAATTTAGTTTTAATGTTCTAAATGATTGACTATTATTGTATTATAAATTTATAGCCAGCCCCATTTATAAAAAACCAGAAAACAGGTTTATTTCTATAAATATTATTTATACATTATTTTTACATCAATACATGAATATGGTGTTATTTATAAATTATAAGCTATTATCTTAATTTTAGTTTTATATAATACTTATATTCAAAGTAATTATAATACTATTATAACCAGAGCCCTACTTAAGAATTTCGGGGAAGGAGCCTAATTTTTTTGAATTAAATGAAATTATAAATTTAGTTTTTTTCTTATCCAGTTCTGTTCAATTAAACAATCAATTATAATATAAAAAGTTACTATTTATAATTTATAGATTTAGAGTGTAGTAAGGAATGTATTAGTTTTACAATGATGTTTATTTTCTTTTTTCTGTAGACAATTTTTCTATCAGTATTTTGCTCTAATTTCCAAGTATATTACTTTTTCTGAAAGGAAATCTGACTAGGGTGATACTTTAAGGAGGTTATTTTTTTTATTTTTCAGGAGTTTTCCCAATAAATGAAAAAACAGACAAATAGAAGAAAATAGAAACAATATTAAACAAATATTATTAAAGAAAATAATTTTATAATGTTTATGTAATTATTTTACCATTATGTGTCATATATATATATTGTTGACAAAGCAACACTATTAACTAAACTCTGCTGAGAATCGGTTTTCGTTAGCAATGATTAATTGATGCGTACAGATATACATTGATTTTCCCCTTTACATTCCCAACTTATCACCTATAACAGTGTGCCATCCACTTGGCGAAGTATATCCATCTTTTTTATTTTACAAATATTTGAATTATTTTCAAATGTATCATTCAGTAATTATTTTTTCATACTCGTTTTTCTTTATCATTAGTTGATGATAATAAAATATTTAAATAAAATTAATCAAATAAATCAATAATGTTGATTGAACAAATGGTTTAACAGATGGTTTAACAAAAATAAAAACAATATTGAAAATAATGGCACCCGATGGTTCTATTTTTAAAAATCATGTGGCCTGTTTTTAGTGATATTTTATGATTTATCCATTTAGGATTACTGTTCATTATTGAATTAAGAAACTCATTGAAGAAGAGGGAAGTAGATCGTTTTTCATGTGATATTCAGAAGAGCTAACTAAATGTTGCATACAACACCTTTGTAAATATCCAGTAAAGTTGAAAGTTCAGGTACCAGATTAGCTCAATGGTAGAGCAATTACCCAGTTTCCTCTTTGTCCCATTGCCAAAAAGTTGAGTACTTTATTATATAGATTAAAATTTTTTTTTCTACATCCAATATGGTCCAGTCCGAATATCCTATTCCCTGGGAATACCGATGTCACTACTGACCTATGTTTCTGGAACACAAAAACAAACTTCATGTTTTAGGCTGCATACATAGAGAAGATAAATAGTATAGGCCAGTAGCGCACACCAGAGGGGGTGTGAGGTGTCAACTGACATCCCTCAGAAAATTAGTATGTGCCAGGTGAGTTTATATGTTATTTTTATGTATATTTGTTTAATATTAATAATATTAATTTGTAATTTAATTTTTTTATGCCTAAACTTATATTTGACTGGTGGGGGTGGGTGGATACCTAGATATCTATATTTTTAACATCCTTGTGACAAATGTACAGTGAGCCACTGGTATAGGCTAAGCAGCTTTCTAATTGACACATAGTGTTATTAATAATAATTTTGCTCAGATGAATCTGATTTAAAGAGGCTGCAGCACAGGAAATTAAAATACATTTTGTAATCAAAATTATGAACTTTGAAGTCTGAAATCCAAAGTTATGTGACATAATTAATTTTTTTATTCAGTAAACTGAATAGAAATGTCTAAAATTAAGTGTTTTGGTTTTTTATCCAATACATTTTATTTTATTTTGTTTTATTATGTAAATCAAAATATTGTACTAACAATAGAATAGTGATTAAATAAAGCAAATATTTTGTTTATCTGCAGTATAGTATAACACCTTAGAATAATAAATGTAATATACTAATAATAAATAGATTTAATTTTTTTTTTCTATATATAATATTTATCTAAAAACATTTATAACACATTATACAATCTTATACAATCTTAAAATAATACTTATAAATCTAACTCAAAGAAAAAAAATAATCATTATTATATGTATATTATATTTTCTGATTTTACATGCTCGAGGCCATACAAATTTTAAATTATTATTCATAACAGACACATGCAATAATATTTAATTTTTTTTCTTAATCAAAAATAATTAAATGGCAGTTTGGTTAGTGAAAACTAAGAGGATTTAATAAAATAAAGACAAGTTAGTGTACAACATTTTAACAGTGTTTTTTTTAATTCAGTTGAAGAAAATAATCAAAAAATAATAAGTGCCAATATATATACAAAAAAAAAATAGTAACTATTATAACTAAGAACTAGTATTTGAAATTAACATAATAAAATAATAAAGTAAAAACAAAATTATTAAAATTGTTAATATTTATAAATAAGTATACACATTTTGTATTTATATATTTATTTACTATATTTAACATATTTTATTGAAAAATGTATTATAAATCTAACATCTATTAAATATAGTAGTAGATATATGCATTAATGTATGGAAATAAATAATTATATTGAATGTACAATGATTAGATTAACGCTTAGCCAATATGAAAAAAAAAAAAAACAAGTAGGAACTATTATGATAGTAAAAAGTAGTATCTATATGAAAGTAACATATTTCACTTAAGAGTGTATTTTAAATCTATATAATCTATAGAATAATCAATAATTAACTTAGAAAATATAATTTAGTATCTAGTATTTAATATATTCTAGTACTCTTAATAATAGTATTGGTTTTACTACATGTGTAATTTTTTTTAGATTTGAAACATTTGAAAATTTAACACAAGGGAAGTATCTACATTTCAAGTTATACTTGGTAATCTAAAAAACAAATTTGAGTTTAATGCATTAGTGTTTTTTTTTTATAATCATTTTAAGATCAAGCTTTGTAAAAAATAAAATAAATATTACTGGCTTTTAACACACATATAACTGATCTTTGCTTCTAATAGTTGTTCATCCCAACTTCCTACTTAAAACAGTGGAGCACCTGTCATTAATATCAGTTAGTTCATTTTTTTTTTCATGTACAATACATTTCTAAAATTATTTTGAATACTGTATATTTTGTTAATATTATTGGTTTCATAATTTTACATGTAAATTTCAGATAAAAGAACACCTAAAGGTTTTCCAAAACTAAGCCTTCTTATTGAAATCTAATAAAAAAAAAGAAATGAAATATACAGTCTATAAATAAAAGCATATTATAGATATGTTGATGCCACTGTGGACACTGAATATTAAAGTAACATTTATAAACTTATTAACACTAAAGAAAAAAATTTTATTTTATTTAATATATATAAATACAAATTCTAAATTATTATTCATAACACATAAATGTAATTAGACAATTTTTTTTCTTGAAGATAAATAATTGTGTACTTTCAAAGGAAGTGAGATCTAAGATAATTTAATAAAACAAAGACAAGTAAATGGGAATTATGTTAATGGTGTTCTTAATTATAACACATAACATTTTATACAATCATTCATAAATTATACAACAAAAAATAATTTTGGGTTTCTTACTATTATACAACCAATATATAACAATTTAATAATTAAGTTGAAATTCGTTTTTCTGTAGTCATATAAATTATGCAAAATTGTATTATAAAAAATGAAACATTTTTCTAATTTTATTATGAATACAATATATTATAAAAACAATGAAAATGCAAAAAAAAAATCTGAATAAAAATATAATTATGATGTAAACATCACATAAATTATGATATTTTCATAATGAAATTTGGTTTATTGCTTATAGTAAATACATTTTATTTAATATACTGATATTATTAATTTTGATACTTATTTTAACTTACACTTTTATGGTATTACATATTAGTAGTATAAAAGTAAGAAACCAACAATTATTATTTCATCATAAAATATATGAATATAATATAAAAATGTAATGGCTGCATTATAACAACATTGTGTATACAAATTTGTATTCTTAGATGAATTACAAATTTTTTTCTTTTAAATAAACTAAGAAAATAGAATAGAATAGAAAAAAATTACAATTGTAATAAAAATTCATACCTAATGGCAACATATACTTAAGAGATATTATGTAATCTTACAAAGAAATTAGAAAGATTAGAAAAATTAGAAGATTATATCAAGATCCAAAGAAATTTAATAAAGACTTAATTTAGTTTATTCACTATTGAATTTTAGTATCTATTATGGTAAATAATAAATGAAAATAACTAGAAATGGGAGTAAATTAAAATTTTTTTAAAAAAAAATGTCAAACTTATTACTAGAAATTGATTTATATATTATAATGTAATGCATAATAACAAATTTAATAAATAATAATAAATATTATTTTAAGTTTGAGTATTAGCCTTTATATTGTTATATTAAAATTAACAACACAAAAACGATTTTCATATAAAATATGTATAAATATAATGCCATTAACCAAGACATATTCATGAAGTGGTTAGTAGGTTATCTATATTATTAAAATAGATAATTACAGTGTTGCTACCAATGTGTTGTACTTAAAATATTGGATGATAAAATAACTAAAATTTATAAGAAAATAACCAAAAAGCTATCATAAAGACTAAATAAGTTTATTTAGTCTTTATGAAAAAAAAAAAAAATCACTTTATAGGAATAAATCTCAAAATATCAGAAAAAAATTATTATACATTGTAACAAAAATGACAAATTCAAAATGAAAAAGTGACTTTTAGTGACTTGAAAGATAATAGTGAGAATTATATTTACATTTAAAAAATTTAAAACGTGTAATATAATTAAAAAAGTTACATAGTGGCTATGTTCAAAATCTAAAAAAAAAGTATTTAGGTATGCTATCATTTTAATTACTACAATGATAGGTGAAAATGATACAAATGTTAAAAAATTAATAAATATAAATAAATATATAGGAATAAAATAGGGTAATGTAGTGTAATGTTTACTTTTCAACTAAAATAAACTTACTTTTATGGTATAACTATTGAAAACAAAAATTATGATGAAAAAAAGGCAATACTATTGTTTACTAACTGTCAAGTTGAATAAATTTAGCAATTATTATTTTTCAATAGACATATTTTTCTTATAAGAATAAAATAATTTATCTATTTCTAATTTAATGTATTGTTTAACTGTTTTATTTTCTATTAATGAAAGTCTTTGTGTTACATATTCCCCATACATTTTGTCTTCATCAGGTTCCTCTAAATTATTAAGGTTCTTAAGGTCTGTTACATTTTGCAGACATAGACTTAACACCATAAAACCAGGATTTTTATCAATTTTTTCTGCTAATGTTTGATTTGTATTTAAGGAAATCTAGAAAAAAAAAATTATATTACATTTTATATAAAAGATACATCAGAAACTTAAAAAAAATAATAATGAAAATAGAAACTTTTCTATTGTAGTTGATACTTATTTAAAATGAATATGCATGTACCTAAATATAATTGATTTATAAATATAATATATATTATTTTATTATAATTGTATAAATGTATTCAAAACTAATGTATTAAATATTACTGTATCATTTAACTGGCAGCTATCATTTGATGTTTCCTCATGTGGCATTATATTTGGTTTTTCTAACTTTATATTTACATTTGATTCATGTGACACAGTTAAAACTGTAGCCATTGAATTAATAGGTGTTGACATGATCACTTTTGTTGTGTTCATTTTGACTATTGGTGTTCAAAGGCAAAATTGATTTTTTTGCTATACTGTTGAATGACTGTACAAATTTTAAAAGATTACAGTGTTCTGTTATACTATTGTGTTCTTCAAAATTGTTGCATGTAGAGCATGTAGTACAGAAAACTGTATTTTATTTATATTATCTGGGTCAAGACAATATTCTTAATAAGAATCTGAAAAAGAAAGGCAGATATATATAAAATATCAAAAAATTCAAAAGCATCAGAAATTATGAGTGTTATAATAATAATATTTTATATTTTTATGTGTGCATATATAACAAAGATACAGCCATAGTTATAAAATTGGTGGGCACTGTTTTAGATAAGAAGTTGGGAAATTTCTGTACACAATGATTTACCATTGTTAATAAAAAATGATTTTGAAAAAAATTCAATTAATAGTGTTAGTATGTAACAATTAACATGTCATACAATGGTAAAATAATTACATAATTTTGATTAATCTAATAAAAATGAAATATGATCTTTAACCAATAGGTATATGTTACCATTAATGTGATTCATTTGCTGTATAACCCTCAGTTTAAATAATAGATATAGTTTAGGAACACCATACTTTAAGTTAATAAGAATCTGAAAAAAAAAGGAAGATGAATAAATTTATAATATACCGAAGGAATTATAGTTAACTATATTATAATAGATGAACCATTCATGTACTAAATTTGTTTACTGTGATTACATTTCCAGTGACTGTAAAAAAACTAGGCCATGTTATCAATGGTTCAGAAAAGTGAAAAAAAAAATTGGAAGAAGTCCTGTATTGAACTGTATACAGTGTGACCATCATAAATAACATAACATAAATAAATTGACTACAGACCATGGATAAAAAGAACTGAATTCTCTAAGTATAATGTTCGCTGAATTAGTAAGATAATTATCTCAATAATAGGATAAAAAGTGGAGTGGCTCAGAAGTTATGAGTCAGGATTCTTGAACTATGAACTATATGAACATAGCTATATTTGTACACAGCAGGAAGTAAATATCAAAAACAATGGTTTTATCAAAACTAGCAATGTTATTCCCCAAATTCTAAGAAAAAGATCTTACATAATAACCAATTAACTCTCTCTGTATACAATAAAAAAATAGGAAATGAAATTAATAGTCCTTCAACTAATAATAGATTCTCAAATAATATTCATTGTACCAGTAGCATATCCCAACTTAGTAAATATTTCAAGAGTCTCTTGGTTTTCTGTAAGTCTGGGCAAGCTATATCAGTATGAAAGTACATCACAAATTTATAACTTTAATGTAGTCTGTATTATAATCATAGAATAATAATAACAGGTAATATATTTATAACTTGCATAGTTTTTATTAATTATATAATAATAAATTATTCAATTGGGAATAATTCCTTTTTTATAAATTGATTCTCATTTATTTTGTAAAAGTATTTTTGTTTTTTGGTTACCAATTATATACAATAGAAGAACTGGTTATTTTCTAAAATAAATTCTTTTTAAATCATTCTAAAATATTATTAATAATGTATAAAGTAAAATATTCACATTTTTTTTATAAAAAAAATACAAGCAGCTTTATGTTAGCTTTTACTTAGTGTCCGAGCATCCCTTAAAATTATATGTGACTCCTAGATCCATATTCATATTACATACTTATAATATATATTTAACATGTATTTAATTATTATTGATATCAATGTTATACAAATCAACAATTTAAAAAAAAAATTGTTTTTTAAAATAAGAGTTCAAAAATAGGAATTGTTATTTGACAATCTAAATTTAATAAGTTTGTTTAAAAAAAAAAAAAATGATTTTCCTATATTATTTAATGTATATACATAAAAAAGAGAACAGTGGTGGGAATAAAACAAAATAGTAGAAAATTAATGAGAAAATAATATAATAACATTTATGTATTATAAAAGATTATTCATACCTATTTGAAATATATATTTAATATGCATTCATATAACATTTTACAAGTAATACATCTTCAAATCCAATAATATTATTATAAATACATTTTTAATATGATTGAGATTCAACTAAAAGAAAATATAATTTCTTTAGTTACAAATCTCAGGTACCTTAGATCATCTTTTTCGGCGACAGTGTCTTTTGTGTTCACTACTCCAATGAATAAGTTGACATTTAGGATTACAATATGATGTATTCCAACAACAATAGTAAATTGCTTCACATTCACAATTCACACACTAAAATATAAATACAATATTCAATATTATATTATTACACGAGTTATACACTTATATAAATATACATTATTACAATAATCATTCATAAATCTTGGATAACTAAATATTAAATTTCAATAAACAATATAATACAAATATAGGCCCAATAAAATACTGAGACTAAATTTATAAAATTCTTAAAACAGAACTAATTACTATGGAGGTCTGTTTTGAAATTTATCAAATTTTCGGAGGTCCCAAATAGTTTTAATAACTTATACATGATAATAAATACATTTTTTTTTTTTAAATTTGTCTTTATATAATTTTTTTTTTTATTTTTATAATAATTGCAAAAAAAGGATTATATGCTCTTTTCTTATTATTTATTATTGGATTTATGATTGATGTCACCACATTGGTTTTCCCTCATTTATAATTATAGAAATTCAGATAATTTTTTGGAACAATGTGTCAGCACCTTATAAATTAAATTAACCAAAAAATATAAATTCAAAACATATACAAATGTTATGCTTAAAATAAAATTTACCCATTGCTTTTTTTTCACTTTGGATATTGCATTATTATGGCTTTCTTTTAATAAAGCAATTTTCTTTTTATGTTGTTCAATCAATTGTTCTATGGCTTTGCGTTTTTCACTTTCCATTTCGGCACGAATCTAAAATATTATTTTATTTTATTTTTTACACAATACATTTAATCTATACAACTAACCTTGCTAATATAACTTTTAGGTGGTTTCGTAGTAATTGGTTTTGTTTGCATATTAATGGAACATACCGAATCTTGACACGAAGAACTAACTGTTTCATTTTCAACAACATGTGAGTCTTTTAACCTTTCAGTCATGTTCTCATCTACTTTACTTTCTTTAGTTGTCGATTTTGTTTTTGATGAACGTGTATTACGGGGTGTCTTAATTTTTTCTTTCATCGTCTCAATAATTTCGACTGTACTACTATTTTTTTTTGGACTTTTAACTTTTATTTTCAATGGTTTAACAGGAGTTTTGTCTGTATTTAGAGGTTCAACAATTTTCCTAGGTCTACCTCTACCCCTTTTTTCAACTATGACTTCAGGAGTAGATTTTTTTTCCATCAAAACTTTTTTAGGGGGACTGCATTTTTTTTCTAATGATGCTGGTCTACTACGTTTTCTTTTAACAGGCTCTTCCTTAGAACACACCTTTTCTTCTTTCTCCTCGTTATCTGTTTCAATTTTTATGTTAGATTTTACATTAATTTTTTTTTTAATTTTATTTTTCTTTTTACCATTTTGTATAGGAATAAACACAGGTGGTGTATCTTCATTTTCAGATGATAAATCAGATGAAGATGATGATGATTGAGCTGTAAGACCAATTATAACTTTATCTAATTGCAATTGATGGCGACGTAATTCTTCACAAGCTTTGTTCCATTGAGAAGTAAGACCTTGAGACTAAAACAATAAATATTGATGTACTGAATAAAAAATGTTCAACCCTACATTAAACTTTTTTTTCAAACATTAATATTGTTTGTTAATTTGCATTACAATAAATAGGGCTGAAATTTCAATTCAATTTGCATTGTTTTCCAAAGTTCCCTGTACAATGCTCATTTTGTTACACAAATTATATGTGTTTTTAAGAATAAGATATATTTTTGTAGTTTAAAGCATTTTTAATGGTTTTTGGCATATTATATACTCAGCCCTAATAGCAAATTATAAAGTTTCATACTACTATTAATATTAATAATATAATACTCTCAGAAATACTTACTTGCAAAGAATGAATATTTACTGATATAGGATAAATTTGTGATTTGTCAATAATTCCAATATGATGTTTACCTCCAAAAAACCTTACTTCATAATTATCACCTTCAATGTTTAAAACCTAAAATATAATTTACTAATTATAATTTTGATACATAGGTACACAAAAAAAAAAAAAATATCTTTTTTTTTTTATGTTATTATTATTTATAAATTTGAGTTAATGCAAATTTTATTAGATTTTATTAAATATTGATTACTTATTAACTTCAAAAAATTTCAACTTTAACATTCTTTATGGTTAGTCTCAACCAAGAATGGAATAAATACCAAGGAAAAAATTTAATTCACAGACATTTTGATGAACATTTTAAAATGTATTACATAAAAAATAAATAGACAGTTTAACTACAATTATTTCATAAATAGTTTTAAAAGAAACCAGGCTCTATATTTTATATTATAACTTATTCCACGGCCCAATGGAATACATATTATACTCACATTTAGGAGAATTTATTTATTTTTTTGTTGAATTCTCTTAAATTTCATCTAAAATTGTTTAAAACTAAAAACTTTGTCAGGAAGTCAAGTGGGACATATGACACTTCACAAATGCAGGGTTGTCACCAATGTATTATATTTAAAATAATGGATAAAGTAATTAAAAAGTATAAAAAAAGTGACTTTCTTAAATACATCAATAAACTGAGTTTCTTAAGATTTAGCTTAATTTATAAATATGTTATTATAATTTTGCATTAAAATTATAAACAAAAGATGAAAACATAGCCATTTTTAAATGTAGGTAGAATGGATAGATACTTATAATTATTAAATTACAAGTAGATACAATGTACCAACTCAAGGAATTGATTATTTTTCAACTTGTCAAAATTGAAAAATGGATTGAAAAACACAAATGTGTATAGAAACTTTTTATTAATTATTGATAATATAATTTTTATCAAAATATATTTATTATGTAAGTAATGAAAAATACCAAAAAGGTTACAGATTATATTAGGTTGACCAACCAGGTTTAACATTGTAAAAATTAAGATTAAAGATATTAATTAACTTAGACAACTAAAATATAATGTAATTCAGTCATTATGTAAAAAAAAAAAAAAAAAATCACTTTTTGTACAATAAATCTCAAAATATTTAGAAAAAGTATTATAAATAGTGCAAAAAATTCAAAATGAAATAAATGACTTTTGGTAACTAAAAATAAAAATGGGACTTTTAGTGACTCGTTAAAAAAAAGTGACATTTAGTTGAAAAAGTGAATAGATTTGGTAAATGGTGACTAGTTCTATTAGATATTATAATCACTAGTATTGAGTAGTGGTCAAGAACAAGAAAGATACTACAAGTGAATTTAGATTTTCAGTTTTCTTCCAAATTATTTTTTGGCAAACAGGCAGATCATTTATGAAAATGTTTTAGACATTCACAAAACTGAATCTAAAAGAGGCAACTGATGGGCAACAAAACCATGTAGAAATGAATATGACATTAAAAAATCTCCTATTGCTGTGCGGATAAATTTAAGATAAGCCAGGGCATCAGTCAAGAATAAAGAAAATCAGGTTTTCCATAAATTCCACCAAGTATAAATGGTAGAAATGTTGACAGAGATATGATGAAATATAAAACCTTGTGTTGTGTGGCTTAGTACATCAATAATTACACACAATGTATAATTCTAAAAATTAAAATTCCAAAAAAAAAAAAATTATATGTGGAGCCAAAAATCAAAATTCAGACATTTGTATTGTCTGTTTTTTATTTTCACTACTTTTTTTAAAATTCAATTAATTAAAATATTTTAAATACTTTAAATTAATTATTATTTATAATTCTACTCAAATTTAAATTGGTATTATTATTTGTTTATCATAATCATAGTACAAAAATATGGAAAATGTATATGTATAATGGTTATGTATATTTTGTAATATTCAACATTACTATTAAATTTGCTAGAGAGTGCTATAAAGATAATAAACTTTATAATAATATAACTATCAGTTCTAAAAATGAAAAATACATAATTTGCATCAAATTGTTCACACAAGGATATTTATTTATATCCATGAAGACCAATATTACCTTGACTAACTATATAAATTTACCTTTGCTGGCCAATAAGGAAGATCTTCTTGTTTAGCATACACTAGATCATGGGGTGGTTTACATGGCTTACAGAACCAAAATTTGAAATTTTTTTGTATGGAATACTTGTAACAATACTGACATCTCAATATCTCTTCCAAATCATTATTACAATCTCTCAACATTGACCGGCCATAGTCAGCTAAACTGCTATTCACTAAAATATAAATAATATTATTAACATATGTATTGAAGAAACACAGTTTTTCATTTAAATAATTTCTTGGTTTTAAAATAAGAAGAAAAATAATTGAACTTTAAAAATTTACCTCCATGAAAAATAATAATATTGTGAATAAAAGTTAATACATCAGCTCTAAATTCTTCAATGTTTTTGTATTCACCATTATGAGATTTATCTTCAATCATTTGAAGGTCTATAGTTCTATAGTTAAAAGAATAATAATTTTAAATACAAGTTTTAATTTAATAAAAAATACAGGATCGTACTTAAAAATAAGAAGCTCAATTCTCCAAGGATCTTTTTCATTTAAAACTGACTTCATATTCATATGCAAATCACTTCCTTTCAGTTGACTTTGAAATTGTAATCGGTCTGATACATATGTTGATGGAGCTACAGTAGCAATTGTATGTTCTGTCCATGGCAAAGGTATCTAGTTAATCAAACAATTAGAAATAAAATTAAACATAAAATGTGTAGCTCCAATATACACATTTGTATTATTTTATAAAATTTAGACAAGCCCAACAATTATAATAAATTAAATAAAAATTACTTTTTCTTTTAATCTACCAGTTGTACGATAAAGAAGTCTGTTGAGTTGAATTTTTTTTATTTTCTTAGATGTTTCTTCAGTAGATGTGCATTTCTAAAAATATAAAATAAATTAATATACTTTCAAACAATATTAAACAACTACTTACTTTACATATATTGCAAATGAACTTATGTTTAACATCATTCTCTGGCAAGTCTTCTCTTTCAATACATGAAAGATGATAAACTCGATAACAAGAAGTACAACTTATAACATCTCCAGCACTGTGACATTGAAAACAATACCAATCATGACAATCTTTGTCAACCTATAAAACATTATTATAAATTGGTAAAAAAATATTGAATGGATAAATTAATATTTAAAAATTAACAAACCTTTTCTTTTGGTAGTTTATATCCTTCAGTTGCAACTCCTGTTTTTGAACCTTTTTGAACCTTGACTCGTTTTGTTAAAATCATAAGACCATCACGGACACAATAATTCAATTGCCTACCTACTTCCTCTATTAATCAAAACAATACATTTTGTAAACATATTTTTAAGTAAAACCTTATTATTGGTTTACCTGATGACATATTGTGAACTCTAGCCATATACTTTGTAATGCGATCAACATCTGGTACCTGTCTTTGAAAACGTATCACTTTCACCGCATCCCACAGATGTTGTACAGCCAATGGGCATGATATACGGCGCCGGCTTATTGCCATAAATAATCTATCACCCATCTCAATTAATACACCAGTCAATAACAAAAGAAAAAATGTGTTTACTTTTTGTCCATTTGTACAAAGCTGTATAATACAATAACTTATCAAACTATTAATTATTGATGTAATAACACCGAATAATAAATAAAGCCAATCTGAAAATAAAATAAGACTAAGTTAATAATTAAGAACAAACCTTATTTTCAAACTATCTACACAATTTTACATAAAATTTAAACTAATGATGTTATGAACATTGATTTCAAACAGAAAAAATTAAACTAAAAAAATCAAAAATTTAATCCAATAAATTATTAGTGATAGAAAAATAATTTATAAATGTTTTTGAATTTTAGTCTATTTTCAGTGTAATTACTAGATATATCAAATCATAGAACATAATTTTAGAAAAACAAGATGTGACATTTATTTTGAAATTGAGCCTTTTAATTGTTAGTTTAGTACAAATTCATCATAATATTTGGATAATTTGATTCAACTTTAAGTTAATCTAAATATAGGTTTTTAACATCACTAATAAAAATTAACATATTTTAACCTTGTATTAAATAAATAAAACATTTTTAAAAAAATACCATCTTAACTGTTCTCATTTCATCCAAAATCTCTAAGGTGCTATTTTCATATTATTTTGAACATAATCAACCTGGTTGTTTTTTTTTTTGTAACTTAAAGTATGTATGTTTGCATGTAATAATTATAATGCTCAGGGGTTAAAGTGGAGGGGACATGAAAGGACATTATAAGACATTATAAGTTTTAATTACTGTTAAAAAAATAAGTAAGTATAGATTTTTATTTTTTCCTTATAATGATTTCAAGATTAAAAGTTTAAAGAAAATCATATATATTACCACCTTTCAAATTATGTAAAAACGAACATCGCTCAGAATCATTTTTCATCAGTAATGATTTATCGTTTCTTACTGATATAAGTTACATAACTTTATGTGTCCTACCTTTCAAATTTCCCACTTATCAAAATGTGCCCATCAGCAGTATCAGCTCGTTTTGGTAATTTAAATATAGGTAAGCATTAAAAAATATTATGTACAATAAGTAGTCAAAAAAATATTAAAGTACCTATTAGTCATTTTTTATTAAACACATTAGTAAAGTTGTTATGGACTATGATACAAATAAAATAAAATAAATGTTACTATTATATTCATATTGTTTGTCTTAAAGAATGTTAGTTTTTAAGTGAAGCGAGAAAAATTGTTTTGGTTTAACAAATATATAAATAACCTTTTCCTTGATGATTCCTTGTTTTCCCGAATATTCGGGTGTATACTCTATGAAACACATTAACTAAAATAGGTACACAGTACCCTTTGCTAGTTTGTGCCACTTTTAATCCTGAATATACTATACTAGAAATGTAATGTATGTGTTAAACAATAGAGATATTAGACTTATAACAAGCAAATTTGAAAAATAAAATCTGCATTACTTTTTATTTTATGTAACTCGCCTGGAATCAGTCTAATCGGCGCATCTGAAAATAATGGCTTTCACACTGAGGTGTTGATGTTGACTGCCGAACAATGCCATCATAATTTTAGACAATATCACAAGAAATATTCAAAATTATTCAAAAATCACACAAACATTAACAATTTTAGCGCAAAAACGAACAGTGATAAATAATATTGTTTACAAACCTAAAACGAAAATGAAAGGAAAAAGCATGAATCGTGACCCAGAAAACAGCATATTCCGTGCAAACATGGCTGCCGGGTTTCACCTCTATACGATAATCAGATAACGTGTATTACCTAATACATGGACATATATTAACGTATGTTATATATCGTCTATGTAGTCGTACAGATACAATTACAATTGATAATAGGCGAACACGAATGACGTATGCCATTTTGTCCGTATCACACAGTTTCTGACATACCTATTCCTTACAATATATTTATTTTGTCATGGGAAAAAGAATGGAGGTTCGTTTGGGTGGTATTCCGGCATTTTCCACAGTAACCAGTGTTGCCAACAAACAACAATTTGTTAATAGGTTATGGTCATAATTCACTCCATTGGTAAACGATACGAGTGATTAGAGTCTACGTCTCACCCACGGACCACGGTTATAGATAGATTTGTCGCATGAGTCGCTAAAAAAGTAAAAACGAGGTGGGCGCGGCAGCTCAGAGAATCGTGTATTCGTGTTATCACATACCAAAACTGCTAAAAAAAAAAAACGAAGTGTAATAGAAAATTATCTAAACTAATTTAAACAATTCATTTTTTATATTTAACCAGCGGTTGACTTAGGGAGGACATGGGAGGACTAACGCATATGGAAGGAGTTGTTATAAGCTTACTTATTTTTATAAAATTGCTCAACTTTTTGTGCTAAATATATAAATCTTACAAAATATATTGATATCTCATATTTGATATATGATAACTCATAATTAACCATCAATGATAACCCTTCATCATCTATAAATGTATAAGAAATTCTTATAATATCTATGGTAACCAGTAACTACTGAGTAATATCATTGAATATGCTATTATTTCTTTTTTTCTATGTTCGAAAAATGTGTTTAATGTGCTTATGATAAAAATTTGTCATGCCCTTTATCAACTATTTATAGTTCTTATACTATTTAAAGTTAACTTATAAACGGTAATCTGATATTAGTGTGATGCATATCAAAATGTCTAGAAAAATATTCTCTATTCAAATCTGTGTTCAAAAGGGGGGTTCTTATTTGATAATCAAAAGTATGCACTTATTTAAGTTATACAGAGTAGGGGTAAAAAAATTAAAAATGATTTTAAAATAAAGCTTAAACAATTCCATAAATGATTAGAAAAAACAGAAATCAAATTCACTGGAAATCCTCTGAGATACTTTCTGGTTCATGATAAAAAAAAATCACCCTGTATACAAGGCACATGAAAGTCCATTGGTCAAAATCATGAAAGTTGATGTGGGATAAACCGAGTTACAACAGCTTTGTAAAATACTTCTTGCTATTCCCGTTACAACAGCTTATTTGGTACAATTAATAGAGTTCTTACAAAGACAAGAAAAGAATGCTACCAGGAACCTTAATATATTGTGTGTTAATAAGTATGGAAGATTTCTTGAACAAAACGGTAGATATGTACATATCTAAGAAAAATCGCCGAATTCGGTTCCTTTAGAAAATATTTTAGTAGATGGTATTTTTAGATTTTTTTTTAAGTTTGTATAACTTGATTGTGTGTGTTTAAAAATTATATTGGTGAATAACTTTAGAAATTATACTAGGTATGTGACATGTGTGTATGTTAAACTTGCGAGATTTTGTATATTTAATTATATTATTAACAACCTTAATTTCAGAAAAAGGTAATATTATTAAATATATAATCATATAAATAACTTTCTGGTTTTTCCAAATGCACCCCCTCCCCTGGAGAAAATTATCTGAAAGAAACACTTATTCAAATTTTTACTTAAGTCGTCTAATCAGTGTACCTATTATTCTTGTGTATTATTAGCTATTTCATGTATTGTGTACTTTTTTATTTAGGCTTAGGTAAGAGGCTGACCAGTTTGCTCTCTGTATTGTACTGCAGTGAGTAGGTAATTTTGTATTCCCATGTGCATGCACATGCCATCGGGCGCATCCTCAGGTTGCAGATATGCTACCCTGCATATCTGCAGGGTAGCAGCGAGATAAGCCATATCCTTCGGGATTGGGCGAATAAGCTGTTGCGGACAAGGATACCATCGGGAGACCGATCGACCAACGGTGCACCGGAGTATCAGGTTCACCGACCATAACAACAACAGACAGCGCGAAGCTGGCGCAGTCTGCGGCGGCCTAGCCAACCCTACAAAACAAAATGGATCATACGAACAATAAGATAACTGCTACTGTTTCATGGGTGTCGGTACTCCCAAAGCCGGCGGCTGAGAGACGGAGTGCGCCTCATGTGTCGTTATCAACGACTTACTCCGAAGGTGCTGGAGTGCTTAGGCAGGCTTCTGCCACCATCATCGATGCCGGTAACGTACTTGCCGGAGGGAGTACGAAACAAGCTCTCTCCAGTGACCGGAAAGCCACTGAAATTACTGCAAATAGCACGCCCGGATATAAGACACCACGGAATCCTGCACCAGATGGAACAAAGGACAAGAAAGAACGAACAAATGAAAGTAACCACAGCATTTGAAATCTAAATTGCTACAATCTCAGAAGAGCCTGGAAAATGCGCCGGAACTCATGGCAATGATGGAGGTCTTGAAAAATTCAATAAAAAAACCAAATAATACACACCCTTAAGATGCTCGGAGCATCTTAAGGGTATCATGAGCAAATTGCAGGCTAGGCTATGCGAGACAGAACGTTAGGATGCTACCCTGGTGACCACCGGGAACTGGGAAGAAGTCACAAGAAGGCATGAATGAAGACATCCAAGGATGCTGCAAATAAAATCGAAGTAGACTGGACGCCCTTATAATTCGTGCTAACGGGCATACCTACTTAGACATGCTCAAAAAAATCAAAAATAACAATGGCATGCACGACATAAGGCACAATATAAACATGATGTCCATGATGAAAGCAGGACACCTGAGGGTAGTCCTAAAGAAAAACACTAAAGAAGAGGAATCCATTACACAGGTTTTATTACAGGCGGTTGGGGAAAACGCAGAATCCTTTGAGCTAAAAGATTCCTCTCAGGTACTTATAAGCGATATTGACGAGGACGCCTCAAACGAAGAAATTATATCTGCTATGGTGGCAAAGTTAGGATCCACGTAAGAGTGGTGAGCAAAAAAAAAAGGCAAACGAGGTACACAACTGGTTAACGTTTCTCTGTCTATGGTAGCTGCTATAGAAATCACCGCATCCAAACTAAGGGTAGGATATATTAATTGTCGAACCAAAACCTTCACGCAAATAAAAAAAATACTACAAGTGCCAAGGATTTGGCCACGTTCGCTCTAATTGCACTGGTACAGAACAAACCCACTGCTGCTGGAAATGTGAAGTAGAAGGGCATAACCATAAAGAATGCGATAAGAAGCCAAAATGTTTCTTATGTGAAAAAGAGACCTCGAGTGATAACACTCTTGGCAGCTTTAAGTGTCACGTAAATAAACGTGCCCTTGAGGCCATAAAACATAAACAATAACAAATTTTTTACAAATAAACATCAATTGCTGTAAAACGGCTCAAGCCCTACTACAATAGACGGTGACAAAACGCTCGATAAACTTCGCGTTCGTTACCGAGTTTCACCATATCAAAAGTCCATCATGGTATCACGAAAAAAACAACAAATCTGCTGTTATAAACTTCACGAACGTTTATATAGACAAAGTATGCTACAGTGAACTAGGTTTCTGCTGAATAGAAAAAGATAATGTCTAGTTTTACTTATGTTATTAGTCACCAAATACAACTCACCTCGAGTCTCTTAGCTTCCTCACCAGGCTAGAAACAAGTATTAGTAATTTTCATTCCGAGGTATTACTTACGGGAGATTTTAATTCACATCACACTAACTGGGGATCTAAATCACACAACAAAAAGGGCACTATCAAATCTAATCAACGCACAAGAATTGGTTATCTGCAACATTAGCAATAACCCAACATTCCAGAATATTAACGGGTCCTCAATTATAGACCTAACAATTGCCTCCCCGTCACTTGCTGCAAAAATCGTAGGATGGGAGGTCCTGGACATTGAGTCACTAAGCGATCATAATTACATCACAACGACGGGCTCTGTACCAGGTAAACCCCAGCTTGGTACACCAGAAAAGTTAACTGCTCAAAACTAGAAACCTTCCTCAAATCAAACCCGTCCAACATCACCCCAAACAGCACTCAGGCAGAAGAGAGCGCAAGAATTCTCAAATTATAATGCCAACACCGCTAGCTAACAATCGCCGTAAGTCAGTGTACTAGTGGTTTCCGGAAATAAGCACATTCAGGAAAACAGGTAACCATCTTCGGCAGGTGCACCAAAGAAAAATTAAAAGATCGGAACCATATGCGTGTCGTATGGAAAAAGACGGAGATAAATCAGCAAAACTTAATTGCGTTAAAGCAATTAAGAAGGCTAGAGACCTAATGTAGAGAAAACTTTGTAACGAAGTAGAACACGACTATACTTTAAGGTTTATACTTCATAAGAAAACAAAATACAATATTGTTATAATCTAACATTTTCAGTTAAAAAATATGTAATCAGATCACATGGATAATTAAGTATAAGTATATATGAACTTAAGTATAATTATCAGTATTTAAAAAACGATTTTACATTTATATATTGCAGTAATACAAAAACAGAGGTGTATTTGTAGAGAGAAATAATAATATGATAATAAATAATGATAATGTTATGATATAAAATGAACGGGGTGGGTTATTTTGATACCTATATTAAATCTGGTATTTGAATCACTACCTTTTTCCTGCTGTTCGGAGGGATACAGGTAGTGAATTCGAAAATAATAATTATATCAATAAATAGAAATTCTAATTATTTTACCTGCTCACAGTGTTGGAACGCTAGGGTTATTAATTATAGGTGTCCTCACGTGGTTCTAGGATTGCTGAGTGGCAGTGAAAATTCAATTGAGTTAAACTAATTTAATTAATTAACATTTTTCACTTGTATGCACTCATATAACAAATGTTAATATTAAAACTAGGATAGAGAAAGGGTTGAAAAACTAAAATAATTGTATAAATAAATTGAACACAAAGGATTATAGCTAATAAAATTCGGAACTATTAGAGAGAGAGATCTTTAAGAGATTGGTGGTAAGTACTGGTTGTATGTGAGATTATCGACAGGGTGATTTATAAAAATATTTCTCGTGTGGTTCAATCGCTCCAGACGCTGAAAAAAGATTTATCGCGCCTTGTAACTTACTTCATATCATACAATCATTCTTATTTATTGCCTATATACCGCCTTAACAAAATTTAGGAACCATTGGGCTTTCTTATCAAATATTGTTCATGATCATGATAATGGTTTTTTTTCATTTGTTTATTTTATCAATTTTACATAGATTTTGTTTTCATCTTGATGTGAATACCTACCTATGTGATTTTAATTTGTATTTAATCGTATTAACTTCTTGTTAATCGTACCGTCAATTTTTTTATCTATTTACCAATTTTACATTTTCTAATAAAAAATGGATTTATCACCGGAAGAAATTCTTCGTAGAAAAAACACGTTGATAGATTTTGATAATTATTTTGAAAATGTAACAAAGACACTAATGAATTTTACAGAAAAAATAGGATGGAATGTGGATGAAACTCCAACTGATGTAATTACCTATAATATTTATTATTTTATTTGTATTTTAATAATATTTTAATCTATTGATATTTGGTATCTAAATTTATGGTTAACTAAAGTATATAATCATGTCTAAGTTGTATTTAATTATTATATTTTGTGTTTACTGTTAAGGACATGTTGATAAAATGTCCAGTGAATAATGCACACAAAGTATTACCATCCAATCTTGATAGTCATCGGCAATCATGTGAATTGGAACAAAATGGATATAACTCAACTGATTCAATATATCCCTCCCATAATTCTTTAACACCTTTAGATCAAACTATACAAATTGGTATGTTATTATTATTTTTCTTTATATATATAATTCTACTGTACGTTTGTATGTCACTGAACTCTTCCTAAATGGCTGGACTTATTTTGACGAAATTTTTTTATGTTTGTTTGAATGGGACCCTGGATTGTTTAGATTCACAATTGGACCTGATAGGTGGCATTGCAATGGTAGCTGACAGAGTAATTGGAATTTTTAGTTCAGCTATTTTTTTTTGTTGATTTATGGGTTACTTTGGTGATACGGATGAAATTAAAAAACAAAAAAATGAATAACTTATTCCCCGTAAGTTGTCCCAAAATTGAAATATTCATCCAGATAGAAAATTAATAAATAAAAATTCATCAGAGGGCGCCAAGAGAGTGATACAATTGAGTTATTATTTTTTTAAATATAAATTTAAATATATCGGCAAGTATGCATATTTATATTATATAGGTATGTATAAATGAATTGATATTTTTTTTGCCAACACCATAACTTGAAAACAGACGGACTGATATGCCTGATTTTTTTCACATGAATGTATAAAACAAACACTGTGCCATCTGCGAACAAAAATTAGCTATAATATGGTACATGCACTTTCCCGCTGTCGAGCGTCTCCATTCCCTGATAAATCGGCAGAAGATCAATTGATGGACAATGCAAATTTAAGAAACCAGGCTGCAATTACACATATTAATGAAAGTCAAGAGCAACGCAATGAGAGCAATGCATTGAGACAAAGACTGGCCTGTCAACGAGTCACCGAGCCATTATAAAATAAAACTATTATAATTTTTACTATCACTATTATTTACACTACTCAAATATCACAATAGAACACATTTAGGCGGACTACCCACTTTCCACCTATTTGTTTTCATTCAATTCTAACACGGCCAAAACCAAAAATTAATATGGGTAAAATAATAATAATAAAAATTGACATGGACAACTAGTTATTTATAAATATTAATTAAACAATTAAACAAAAAGTTAATAAGATAATAAGTGGCACATTACATTGCTTTTGAAATTAATGAATTAAACCAGGGTTGAAAATATATCACAATATACCACATATGAAATGTATAATTTTTTTATATTTGATATTTTTAAATACAATTTAATGGTTAAAGTTTCTATTTCAAATTTGTTTTGTTTTTAAACAATATAATATGATAGTTAATGTTTTCATATTTTCAAATTATAATTGTAATTTTTTTCATATGAAATAGAAAATAAATAATGCTTATAGGAGTATTATACATATTAAATAAATTTAAATTATTTAAATATTTTACATTTCATATTATTAGTATTACAGAACATAAGGATAATACAAGTTCTACAAGTTTTATACAGATACACTGTAGATATTGGAGTTAAAACAAATTATTATAATTGTTATTTTTGGCTCATAGTTGCCACTGATTAGGTAATTAATTAATAATTTATAATAGTTTATAGTTAGGTATGAAATATTTTCTTTTATTATATAATAAATTGATAAGTTATAATTTATTACAGATTACAGTTTTTAAGACAATCACTTAAAAAGTAGCACTATATTCTTCTTAGAGGTTAATGACTAATAGCTCTTCAAAACAATTACCTATACTTTTTACAGTAGTCATATGCTACTTGAGAAGTAAATTTCTCTACCATTCATAAATAATTGCAATAAATTGATATTTATTTGAAAAATTAATTTTGATTTTATCACTTCAAGATTTAAAAAAAATAATACCTAGGTAATATTATACAAAATACATTGATTAAGTTAAAAAGTTAAAGTTTAAATTAAAATATATAATTGATTTCATATTATTGGAGATGAGTCTAAATAACTGAGAAAAAAAAAATATATATATATATATATGTATAAATATAAAGATATACACTGTACACAAAAGAATAATAGTTTTCTTTAAAATAAATTGGACAAAAATACAAATAATTGTGTTTTAAAGTTGGAATAATATAATTTAATAGGAACCTACCTAGTTAGAATTAGTTTATAAATTCCAATTTTCCTTAGAGGCACAAATTAATATTAAGAGTACAATGTCCTGATGTTTTGTTTCTGAACTTATATTAATTTACTTAAAATGTACAAAAAAGCGCATAGAAATGTTAAAACAACCATGAAAAATTCCCTTAAAAAATATTTTAAAAAGTCACAATGGTAGAAGGATTTTAAAGTCCCTTCCTGCTTATGACTCAAACTTATTAATTACAATTTTCTAACACTACAAATGATTAACATAAAGTGATTTTTTTTCATAAATACATACAATTTTATTTAAACAAATTAAGTTAGATCCATCTATGAAATTATCAACCCTACCATAAGTCTTACTTTTTTTTTAATATTTGTGTACTTTTTTGATGGTTTTGAGAGAATTTGTCTTAAACCCTACTCATAAAAATTGTCATATATCACTTTTCAATCCATATTATCTATATAATTTTGAAGTGATCAAAAGACCATGAACTAACCAATTATAGTTAGCTCACAAAAGATAGATGGAACCACTTTTTTTAGTTAAAACCCTGTGACTCTAAAACCATCTATGCACTGGTTTATTATTAGATAGGATTTAAATTAGAAAGTCTAGTATTGTAGTTAATCAAACAAAACAAGAAATATTAATGCATGAAAACTTTATATGAATAACCAAACACAAATTAATATTCCAAATACCATTTGAAGAGACTCCCCTTTGTGTCAGTTGGTTACCTTAAATATATTTTTACATTAAAATGTCACAATTAAGTTGTTTCATTGACCTAGTAACATATTAACAGGATCAAGGAAATTTTATTATTTTGTCATTTATGTTTCTTATGTTATATATAATAAATTAATATCTATGTATTTACAGATAAAACTACTCAGATGAATATTTTAAAATCTGCCCAGGTGGAGTCAAATTATACTTTAAGTAAGATGAAATTAATGTTACATTTTTAAATACTAAGAGTAAAATAATTTTTACAATAGTTAATGACTTTTTTCAGATGTAATTAAAGAATATTTGGTTCAAGATATTTTACAATATTCCAATATATATATATATATATTACAAAAAAATATATCCTTTTAATTATTTTATTTAATAATCAATATTAATTTTAGTAATTCATTGTTTCTTTAATTATTATGATTTATTGTGTTTATTTGTCACTTTTTGAAATATTTGTTCTTTGGTTATACATTTCTACAACATGTTTGAATCTATCACATTATTATTCTGAGAATATTGTTCAATATTCTTTTACATAACTATCAATTCATTTTTTTTATTTATGTTTAAAAACTATATATTTATTATTTTAGATGTTAAACATAAAGCAAGAGATGTTTCTCAAAGTATAGAACGTTATGTTTGTGATTTTACTCCTGATGAGAGAAGAGTTTTGTATGATTATGCTGTACAAAATACCAAATTGTCTAATCAGGATGCCATAAAAGATTTAACAGAGTAACAATTCCAGACATTTATTATTTTATACACATATATGTATTTAATATAAACCATATTTTTATTTGTAGTGTGGATGTCTTAAATAAAAGCAATGAAAAACCAAAAACAGAGTTGGAGTTGTTACAAGAGCAAAGAGACTCAAAACGTAGAAGAGTGGCTTATCGTGGAAAAAGAGTGCACACAGATAGAAAATCTCATACAGAAGTAAGTTTTATACACATAATATTACTATTTAAAATAATTGTTTGGCTTATTTAGGTATTAAGAGAAGTTGTGGAAGGATTAACAAACAGTTTACAAAGTCAACAAGAACAGTCAACATCTATTTGCACAGAAACATCAAGTAGTGGTTCTCAAACTGTACTTAATAACCGTATTGTTTATAAGTATGAAGGTATTCAAAATTATGGCAGTAATCCATACACTCGTTGGCTTGATATTGAATCGGAAGAATCTAAATTAATTGACTCTTCTGAAATGAAAAATTATAGACCGTCTTATAAAACTCATTATAAGGAAAGTAGGTCATCTAGTAGTAGATTACAAATGTCAAAGAGGCCTAAGTCTAGGCCTCGTTCTTATTCCAGTTCTAATTATAGCTCTAAGTCTAGTTCAAAATCTAGGTCAAGATCTAGGTCAAGATCTAGGACAAGATATAAGGAGCGTAATTATAAATCTAAACGATATCGAAGTCCAACAAAATATGAAAAAAATAAATATAAGAGCTCAAAAACTGAATCTATATCACAAGAAACAATGCCTAAGGAATCTAAAATCCAGCCAATGTCAGTGGAAAGTCATTTTAAAAAATCTAAGAGACACAGAAGTAGAACGAGATCTAAGTCTCAAGACTTGAATTCATATAAAAAAGTTAAAAGTTCTAAAAGTCCTATAAATTATTTTAAGCTATCAATTCCTAATGAAGAAGAGACCACAGTTAAATTAAAATCTAGCCATGCACATAAAAAGAAAAAAAAAAAGAAAAAGAGTAAGAGAAAACATATTTGAAAAGTCACAACAAATGAACACATTACATTCGAAATAAATGTCAATATTGAAGTTTGTAATCTTGGTAAATCTTTAATCAAGTTTGTAAATCATAGCTAATAAAATATTAAATTATAATTATTATTTGTATTTATAACATTTAGTGATCTTAAGAATGTTTTTATAATGTTAATGTACTTTGATGTCTAAAAATATAATATGTAAATTGATTAATATTTCTGTATTTTAAGTTATTAATTTTATATATAGAGAGAGAGGTATCTCATGAAGATACTTATTATAATATCTTCTGAAATAAGAAAGATAAACAAATTCTGTTTTTTTTTTTTTTTAATATTACCAGCGCAGATATTTATTTATATTTGAATTCAATTTTTATATTTTTCTGAAAAAAATAACTATTTATTATTTTCCAAAAATTTGAAAATAGTAATTTTATAGTTATAAAATTAATTTAAAAAAACTGAAGATTCAAATTCTTATTTTCATTAAATTCGTAATTTTTAAAGTTCAGAAAAAAGTACCTATAGTTATGCAGTAGGCTGTTATCCCATTCTTTGATTATTATTGTTTTGGCTAATTGACTGTAATTTTTTCCTGAGAACTTAAAAAAACTGTTAAAAATTATTAATTAAAAGTAATGAATATGTATATGAAAATAAAAAGTAGATACACATCAACATTTTCAGAAGAATAAACTATACAATGACAATCTTCAAATTTTTCAAAAATAATAAAATAAAGTTTTTTTTAAAAAAATATTAAAATTGAATTCAAATATAAATAAATATCCCTGATAGTAATATTGAAAAAAAAAACAAAATTTAATTTTCTTTATTATATCAGGAGATATTACAATGAATCTGTATTTACATGGGGGAACTCTGTATAAATACATTTTATAGGTTTAAAACCAAATATAGAATAGGTTAGGTAATAAAATTAATTTAATATTAGATAAAACAAAAAGTAATCAATACATCTATGCTATAGGATGAGTGTTATTGAATAGAAAATAGAATTAGTAGGTAATTATGGAGTAGTCTATATTGCAGGAAAAATGAGAGAAAATTTATTGAGATGGTTTAGACATGTTAAAAGAAAGAAATGTCATGAGATGATCAAGAAAAATTAACTAGAGGTCATTAAAAGATATTTTAGAACATGTGGAGTAGATGGAGAAATTGCAATTGATAGTGAAATGTAAAGAACAAAAATATTTGACCACAATTGTGTGTGGGGTGAAGGATAAAAGGTAGATAAAATCCATAAATAAGAATTATTTTTTTGACTGTATAGTTGGTAAGCAATATTGTACTGCTGAATAATTAAGAAAACATTTATTAATAAATATCTTATACAGTATAATATAGACCTGTATATCTGAACAATTTTATTTTCATACAAGTCAATAAAAATACACATTGGTCTACATAATAATATCACTATTAAGTATTGTGATATATCATTTACCTATATAGTAATTTAATTAATAATAATAATTCTTATTGACAATAATGGACATGATATGATTTAATTTGATATATTGCAATATATTATCTGCCATTATGTTCAGAGGATGTTTATAAAACTTTCAAATAGTTTTTTGTATAAGACATATTATAATATATTATTTGTTGGGGGGTGTAATACTATTTAAATTTTCAAAACATTCACATATAAAATTTCAATAAATTACAAGAATTATGTTGTATATATGGGCTACATATAAATTTGTATAATTAATATTATGTAAGGATCATCAATAGAATTCTAAACAAAGTTTGGTCAAACATGTTTTGATATGCCTTGATTTTTACGATTTTCATTGAAATTTGAATTTAAAAAAAGTATAAAAAAAACTACTAAATTACTAAATATACAAAGTATATAAATAAATGAATAACTTGGAGTATTTTGATATGTGTATTGTATGACTAGTTTGGATTTTACACAGAAATAATTTATTTTAATAGGAGATTATTTGAAAGAGTTATTATCAGACATATAAATGTTAAGAAATATAAATTATTTGGTTACTATTTAATAATTATTTAAAATGTATTGATATAAGATATTATTTTTAAAATCTGTTTGAACATTTAAAATATCATTACAATTATTTTTCTTTACTTCATTGTGTATGTGTAATTCTTCCAAAACTGAATTGATGTAATTGTTATTTTAAGTATTTAATATTTCTAAGTCTATATTAATATCAAAACCTATATTATGGTTATTTTCTAAAACATGTTTAGCGAAATTTGAATTAGGGGCAGTATTTTAATTTTATTTCAGAAATGTATTATTTATATTTTATTTTATAATTTCTTTTTGTCTTACCTATATAAAATTTATTACAGTTTCATTTAAGTTTATATATACCAGCATTTTCAAAAGAAGGGGGATTTTTTGTAAAGTTTTTAGTTTTATTGTTTATATATTTGATTAAATTATGAATTGTCCCAAAAGTGATTATTACATCACTAAACTTAAAAATGATATTTTTGAGAATAAGGGTGATTAGAATCATGTGGTATCATAGCATTAGTTTTTGTAGGTTTCCTGTAAATACTAAAATCGAATTTATTTTTATTATGGAAACTATAAGATCTAAGAAATTGTATTTATTATTTATTTGTATTTAGAGTGTAAATTTAATGTTTTTATTCATTTTATTTAAGTAGTTAATTAATTTTTTTGCTTTTCTTTTTAAACCTCTAAATAAAATGAAAGTGTCATTAACATATTTATAATATGCTTTTATATATAGACTTAATATTTTGTTGTTTTGAAAATTATGAACCAATAATATTAATAATAACTAATTAATTTTTTCTCTGTGTATTCCTTCATTTAATTTTTGATATTCAATCATGTTTTACTTTTAGATTTTGTGATTTTATTTGATGATGAATTTGTACACATATCATAATACTCTAGACATTCATTTATTTATTTACTAGTATTAACCATTTAATAATTTTGTTTTCACTTTATTATTTTATTACTAAATTATATTCAACTTTTTTTTTCTTTTACAACTAACTACAACTTTGAACTCTGATGAACTTTAAGTAGAATGTTCAAACATTTCTGCTTGGTTGAAATAATTGTATTCATATAAAACCAAATAAGAAAAAAAACAGTCAAATGCCTATAAATAACTTAAGTATCATCAGAATGTTTTTAAAATCTTATCACACCTAGGAAATGTACTAAACTTATTTATATATTTGATCAATGTAACAAATAAAATAATTATTCGTTTTGAGTAACATTGAATATTGTATCAAGAGAAATGAGTACTAAAACTGGATAATTTTGCATGGTTTTAAATTTAGATTAAAATTTATACCAAATCAAGTAATATACAAATAGCTATAAATATAACATAAATTTGTAAGTATGTAAAAAAGATAAAAATTCCCCATCGCATTTATATATTTTTTTAAATAATTTTTTTTTTCAATAACCGATAGTAGTGGGGGATCAGTTTTTCAGATTTCTACCCCACATTGTATAATGATTTAAAACGAATTAGATGATAGTGAGTGGAATGTGGACACTTTAATAAATTAAAATTGCTATAGTTAGAATTTTCAAATACCTACAGTGAAACTTCGTTAATCATCACTTAAAAATAAATATTTAAGTAATATTTATTGCTATAAATTTCTTATTATTAAATTTCTCACTCCTATAATAGTGGTTGTATCCACCCCCATTATCCTAGGATAGCTTTTTAAGTTTACATTTTATCAATAGCATAGTTTTTCTTAATTTTCAATCTGCTTACAAAGCATTAGGATTACTTGAAGATGATGGACATTATAATTATACATAACAAGAAGTATCATTATCAAACAAGATATGTAAAATAAGATTATGTAAATGCATTTTCAGCTAACTAACCGATTAAACTTATGGTTGAATTATACACATTTTTCAGTTAATGGTATTTTATACAAAGAAAAATTGAGTTTTAACATCCAGATGTTAAATTTAATGATTCAATTTACAACAAAACTTTAATTCTAATAAAAGACAAATTGATAGCTTGAATTGGAAATAACCTCAAACATCAAATACAAAGTCCTCTCAGAAGTCCAATTGACAAAGCAAATTTAAATAGTTCTATATATTATGAAAATGTGTCAATAATTGAAAATCAACTTATATTTAATCAATAATATATTTATAATACAATTTTGGAGAATAATAATTCCCAAAATGGTGTTTTATATTTTTTAGATGTCCCAGGTGTTACAGGGAAAACGTGTACTAAATTTAATTAAAAATGATAAATTAGAACTCCAATATAAAAAGTCAAGGCTGGAACATGAAAAAATTTAATAGAAAAATTAACTTCAAATAGCTAATTATTATTAAGAATTTATAACTAAATACTAATTTTTTTTTTTTATGTAATTGTATATTTACAAACGTCTTGATAAATAAACACTATGCTTATAAATACTTAATACCTACTATATGTGTTAAATTATTACAAGAAATATGTTATATTTAATATTCCTTATTACCTCCATGAGTGACATGCTTAGGTTGTGGTTTTAACAATTTTCCAAAAAATTACTTTTGCAATAAAAATTTAAAAAATTAAGATGGTTTATTATCAGTGTTTAAAAGTATTCATATAAATTAGAGGTTGCCAAAGTGGTCTACAACGACTTCTGTGGTCGATTTTAACCTGCAAGGGGTCCATGTCAACAAAAAAGAAAATTGGGAGTGCGTGGGGTGTAAATAGGGGTCTATGATAGTTATTAAGTCATAAATGCGTGTATCGTTTAAGCTCAATTGCCTATCTTCTTACAAAAAAAGAAACAGATTGGAAATCACTGGTAAAGGAAATTTAAGGTTAAACCTGAATAATTTAAAGCCAAATATTGATAATTTACTACCAAAGCATCATTCCAATTAAATGTATAATTTTTATTTTTTTATGTTATACATTTAATTTGCATTTTCTGTCGTTTTAATAATTAAAAAATGAAATAAATATTGTCATTATTAAAGAAATAAAGATATAAATAAAATAAAACTTTGCACGTTTCAAATTTTGAGTGGAGCGAAGAATGTATTGGTTTTACTAAGATGTTCATTTTTTCTTTTTCCTTTTTTTTATACTGTGTACAAATATTCGACTAGAAATTTTGCTCTGATATATATGCACGACATCATTTTTGAAAAGAAATATTGTTCAGATGGTATTTATTTATCCTGGCGGCTTTCATAATATCTGAGAAAAACCAGGATAAAACGTAAAAATAAAAAACGGGAAATTCACGAAAATAATGCTTTTATTGTTTTTCAATTTTGTTATTTGTTTTAATTCACTTAAAAATATTTATAGAGACTTTAAATTTGGACAGAATACTTATAATTGCTTTTTCTAAACTTTCAACTAATTTAAGGCATTTTTGAGATATTTATTAATATTTTGATTTTGGGAATTTTGTAAGTAATTTTTATTCGGTAGGTACTGTGTAGTAAAATTTTTAGACTTGGTTCATTAAAACTCGGAAGTTATGATCAGAAAAAAAAATTGAGTTAATGTTGTATTTTTTTTTATAAAGAAATTTTAAAATCAAATATTGACGAAAATTATTTGTTTAAAAAATTGTGTGGAAGAAATCTAATTTTTCAATATTTTACTTTGTATATTATAGATTTAAAAACGATGGTAAAGTTAGAATTGAGCAGGATAGCTTCGAAATTTGAAATTCTAATATTATACGAATATTATATGATATGTTAAAAAACTCTATATTGTCTATTATAGTCTAATGGTATGTCAAACCCATTAGTATCCTGGGTATTGTGTGTTCAAAACCGTGTTTTTTGCATTTTTTACAGTTTTATTATTTCCCTTTTACTTCAACAGAAGAAAAACAAACGCATTTTAAGTGTACTTAGAGACCTCGCTATCACTCTTTCGAACTATTTTAATCATAAAATACCCCTTGATTTGTTGTGCAAACTTCTACCAGGAAAATTTTCAAAAAATTTAAGCCACTTTTGAACTATTTATAGACATTTTAATTTTGCGAGCTTTGTACGTAATTTTTATTTGAAAGTACTCTGTGGTAAAATTGTTAGACTTACAGAAATGCTTAAAAAATTAACAGGAGGTTCATTAATTGTTACTTTGTGGAAAAAAAACTGAGCTTAATGTAGTATTTGGTTTTATAAAGGAATTTTGATATTAAATTTTGACGAAAATTGTTTGAGCATTATGTGGAACAAATCTAATTTTTCAATTTTTTTTTTTACAACATATATCTATTGCCGATTTAAGAAAGATGGTGAAGTCAGAACTAAGTGGACTGATTAAGTTTTGAAATTATAGCTTTTTGAAGTTTAGATATTATGCAGATATTACATGT